TGATATTGGAAGTTCATTAACGAGCAGGTGAACCACGTCGTGTTTCATCGCGTGTACAAAATCCGGAGGCCAAATTCGAGAATCGCAATCATAAGCAACGCGCACCGACTCTCCCCTTACCCTCGATAAAATGAAGAAAGTACCTCAAGTTGCCCCTATTTTCTCTCTTTCATCTTTAATTCGAAATTAGAATTCTTTGAATCTTTTAAAATTTTAAGTATCGGTGCAAATTATCCTCGGTGAAGTGAATATTAAAATTTAAACGAATGACCCTTTCGTCTGGGTATCCTTAAATCTACGAGCTTGAAATCGATGAAAGGAGGGAGTCGGTTACCAGAATCATCATTCACAGTAGGAGAAACGCTTCTTCAGCATATTACGAAGCAGCTACCGATGATCAAAGGATACTCATAGCAAGTAAGTTCTCTAGGTGTAAGCGTATAGCACATCGGTGAAACGAAGAGTCAAGTTACAAAGCTCTAGCGATGCTTCCGGCCGTAAATGTTACTAGTTTCCATTCCCCAGCGCTCCACGTATTCACTAGAAAGAGAGGGTGGCGGAGGGCGTAGCAACGACGCGTTTTCGTCGTGAACAGAAGCAATAGTAAGATATAGTTAATCGCGCTTATAGTGATCGAGTTCGGTTTCAATTGACTTTGATTTCTTGATCGAGGACACGCATTCTTGCGTTCCAACAGCTGGCCCCGTTTCATTGAAGACATTGAAAGTCCCGGGAACTATGGGATGCATGGTGGAAATTGATCTCGATTAAACGATTAAAGTTGCGCAAGCTTCGCGAGAACGGTAATAAGATAACGTCACGAGGTAATATTCACGGTAACACGAATTGAAATTGAATCAACTGAATTCGTTCGAGAAGAACGAGATAGATGTACAAAATATTTTTACTTGCGAACGGTACACTGCGGAGTAATATAGAGATATAAATGATATTAATTATAATTTCGCGCTTAGAGGGGTTACGATCGATGCTGCGCGTTAATTTGTTGAGAGATTAAACGAATTTGTTGTTTATTGATCGTTTGCTGTAACAGAGAATGGATAATCGCCTGCATCCGTTATATACAAATGTACATGTTATTATTTACTATCGAAGAGTATCATCAAACGGAGAGTAATATTTATTAATATAAATATAGGGAACTTGAAAGGGAAAAAAAAAAGTATAAATGTATTTAAAACAAAAAAAAGTATAAGTATATGAAGAACAAAGCGTATATTATATATATAAATATATATATTTAGCGTTGAGATTTTAAAATACAAAACACAAACCCATGAAAGTACATGCTTTTTCAAGTATTCGTGCGAACGGTTGTCATTTAGTTCGTCGATTGTCTTTATACACTGTTGGAAACTGATCTGATTACGTGAAGAGATCCTCTAAGTGATTGATTTCGTAGTTCGTAAACGTGTTTACGTCGTTCACTTTTTTAGGGGAAATTTACCGATCGTTAGTCTGTCATTTCTCATACGTTGATTCATTTCATCGATACGTAATAGAAATCGTAAAGGTAAACCACGAGAGAGAGAGAGAGAGAGAAAGTTGCTTCATTTTGAAATACGAGTTTACAATATTTTTGCCCGTAAAATACGACGAAAAAATCTCAATCTGTTCGACAGGAAAAAAAGAAAAAAAAAAAGAAAAAAAAGTAAAAATACGAAACACTTAAGAACCGAACGACTCTATATAGATTTTTCGATTCACTCGCCATTGAGTAAAGAAAGATGATGACTTTAAACGTAAGTAAATACAAAATATCTAGGTGTATATTAATAAGGGAAACCTGAATCTATTTATTGTAAATCTACGAATTTACTCAACGTTTTCATTTCCCGTCGAGATTTACCGAGCCGTCGATAGATCTTCCATTGCAACAAACTCGAAACGAATAAACCAAAGGGATGATAAACGAAATATTTAGGCGGGAAAGTAACGTGCTAAGATAAAGGGTCGATGCAATGTTGTTCAATTCGATTCGAAGTACACGACATTCCTGTCACGATATTCCTGTCACGCGTGACTCGAGTTGATCATCAAATGATACCAATACTCGAGTTGATCATCAAACGATACCAATACTCGAGTTTCACGCGTGGAGGAATTCGCGAACCGTATTTAAAATCGAACGAAATGTATTAGACGATATTAGGAAGACAGAGGTGTATTTTTGAAGCAAAAAGAGAAGAGAAAAATATGAATGGAGAAGAAAAAAGAAGTGACATTCATCTGACCACGATTACTGATACCTGCAGAAGAGACATTCTATCGAACCGTTGTTGTTAATTGTCCATAATTTTATCGGCGTTATAAATTTTTTTAACCACCAGTCGTTGATACTGCCGACTGAATGGCTGATTTTACTTCGACAAATTCACTTGTACTCTATCGTGATCGAGGAGAAAAACAAAAGGAAGACGTGTCGTATATGTACTCTCTTATACACGCATGCACACGTACAACACAGACTTAGGGGAAAGTGTTTAACCACCAGTCGTTGATACTGCCGACTGAATGGCTGATTTTACTTCGACAAATTCACTTGTATTCTATCGTGATCGAAAAACAAAAGGAAGGCGTGTCGTATATGTACTCTCTTATACACGCATGCACACGTACAACACAGACTTAGGGGAAAGTAATATATTTGTACAGGCGAAGAAACTATACGACGACTTTATCCAAATAGAAATTTCGAGCACTTAATTTGCATACACGTACTTACATCTACACTTGTCAAAATTTAGCAACTTCGCATCGCGTCGTGAACGTAAACGTAAGAAGTATGCGTTTGCCATATCAGCACCGTTAATTAACGACGGTTTTGTATATTGTTCTTGTGCCCATTTCCTCTATCAAATCCTACTCGAAGTATCCAAGATTTGTAAATAAAGAAACGCGGAACAGGTTTTCGTCGGTATTCGTTAGCGCCATTCTGCCGACATGAGAATTATTTGAGAATGGAAATGCAACACAGCTTGTTGCACTTTATTCTTATGGACATTGTTACCGCATACGCCATGCTGTTGTACATTATTGTTATCCTCTGCGTAATTTAGTACGTTGTTATATACTATATACACATATACACGCACTTCAGTTGTCTTCCTTTGAAGCACCTTTGCACGATGCACCAATGCACCTTTCGATGCACCTTCCTATGCACTTTTCATGCACGCGTGCACAATTGAAAATAAGAGAAAGAGGTGAAATGTTTTATTTTTAATTTCTAACTAGAGCACCGACGAAATCGGCACAAGTATAATTAACGTTGGTCAATTCCTTTCCTTGTGATTTATCAAACTGACCCAGGGTGATCTCGTTAACCCTCGTTATCGTTAATTATTAGTCTAAGTTGGAGCAAGGAGAACAACAACAAAGTCCGAAGTCTTCCAGAAAGAAAGAGAGAAAATTCAGAGTGTATTATCGAGATTTAGAGAGATGCCTCGCATTCGTGGAGGCAGCTATCCTTATACATTGTATGTAATTAAGTAAAAAACGAAAAAACAGAAAAAAAGAAAAGAAGACGAAAATACATTTATATATATATATATATGAATAGGTGAGACGGTAATTATATAAATATGTATATGTATGTACACGTGCGAGCAAAACTCTCCTGACGACAAGACGAGCAAAAGAATATGGACTATGTAAAGATGTACACGGCGTTGCAGCGATGATTGCTAGCACGTCGTGATCTTGTTGTACGACAAGTACCATCTAATTGACCCTATTATCCACTGTATATCAATGTCTAATAAACTGCTGTTATCCCAAATTGTCAATACATGTTACGTGAAACTCTCTGTCTTCGTTCCACCACCGATATTTATTCCGAGCACGAATTAATTCAATAATCATCTACACGTAGAATTTTATGAACAGCGATATGCTGCTCGAATATATTCATAGATACTGGCAAAAATGATGAAATATAGTGGACGGTATGATTAAACGCGGTAACACGATCGCGAAGCGAAAATACTAATTAGGATTTCACATTTAATAGCGAGGCACATAAATATGGAGATCCCAAAGTTGCTCGGGCAGGTACGTAATTTATTAATTCTACGGTATTCAGAGTTCCTAGTTGAGTTACGAGAAAAAAGGAACGAGATGGGAAAAATTAGGAACCAGTTAAACCGGGTGTCCGTTGGTAAACAGGTGAATAAATTACCTGATAGTGGCTGGTTGACCTTGACAAGCCTCCACGCAATTACCATACATCGTCGCGAGGGATTTTAAGGCAACGCCTTGACTCAGTCGATCAAAACAATCGCGATCATGAAGTCTTTCGTGGAATATTCCCCAGACAGTGATTTCCCGATTGAAAATCTTCCTTACGGTGTCTTCTCTACAACAATCAACGTAAGTAATGCAGTGATATATCATAAACGTGGTATATATGTAAATCGAAATAATAACGTAACTAAAGAAGAATTTGTAGGTTATGTCGAGCTAAAAGAAAAATTTGTATTCCGACTATTTATTGGAATAATAATAGTGAAAAATAAGCATAGTAGAAATAATATTATTTAACGTTAGTAAATAAATTTACTAAATACAACAAAAGTTCCTTTTCCTTAATTAACCGCGGTACCACCTACACGTGGTGCGAGTAGTAACAGCCGATATTAAAGGCGCGCATATTCAAACGTGTTAACGATTATCAAAGAAATTTTAAGTTCGATTAAGTTAAATTAAATTTATAAATTTCTAACTTGAATTTAAGGAAGGAATTATTGTATTCTATATATTCTAAGCAATCTTTTACATGACAAATTATAACATAAATTATTTTATTTTTTATTGCAATCGATTGTTATTAAAATTAATCCTCTGAAACGTATAAAAATTGTATACTGTTTTCGTAAAGAATATTTTTATCGTAATGCTATAAATTCAAGTGTATCATCAGTATCCTCAGTGAAACTATATTATCGATTGTTGGTAACTTCTTGAGCCTTGGTAACTTCTAATAAATCTGACATTTTTCAGCCTCAAAAGAGAATAGGAGTAGCGATAGGCAACGAAATTTTAGACCTAGCCGCTGTTTCGTATCTATTCGATGGACCAATATTAAAAAATCATCCAGATGTATTCCGCCGCGATTGTCTCAACGATTTTATGGCCCTAGGAAGACCAGCCTGGGTAGAAGCCAGGAGCAAACTTCAAGACTTGCTATCAGCTAGTAATCCAACTTTGCAGGAGGCAAATATTCGTTCGAAGTACAATAAAAATTTATATGATTACTCATAGAAACAAGACAATTGCAAATTTCACGTACTTCTACCTTGCAGAGTATTTGTGAAGCAGAATGATGCAACGATGCATCTACCAGCAAAGATCGGCGATTATACTGACTTCTACTCCTCCATTCATCACGCCAGAAACGTGGGCATCATGTTTCGTGGAAAAGAGAATCCTCTGATGCCAAACTGGTAATTAAAACTAATCTACAATTAATCAAGTGCCGTAATAAACCTGATGTACCCACAGGAAACATTTACCAGTTGGTTACCATGGAAGGGCTAGCTCAGTCGTCGTTTCTGGCACGCCGATAAGAAGACCACGTGGTCAGACACTTCCGGTAGACAGAAAAGATCCTGTTTTTGGCCCTTCTGAATTAATGGATTTCGAATTGGAGGTAGCTTTCTTTATAGGAGGACCTCCTACAAATTTGGGTGACACCGTACGAGCATCTGAAGCTTATGATCACATTTTTGGCATGGTCACCATGAACGATTGGAGTGGTAAATTTTTTAATTGACTAATGATAGAAAGAAATTCGTAAACCTGATTAATCGACAGAATAATTATAGCCAGGGACATTCAGAAATGGGAATACGTTCCATTGGGTCCCTTCTGTGCAAAGAACTTCGGGACCACCATTTCCCCATGGGTAGTCACCATGGAGGCTCTGGAGCCTTTCAAAGTACCCGAGGCATCCCAAACGCCAGTCGTCTTTCCTTACTTACGGTACGACGAATGTTGCAACTTTGATATTAAACTGGAAGTCGACATCAAACGTAAGTTATTCGCAAAAGTCTCCATAGAGATCTGGTAGTTTAAAAAATATTTCGAGATAATCTCCCTTTTGTATATTTTCTCAGCTGAAAATGGTATCGCCAGCACAGTCTGTCGCAGCAACTATAAATTCCAATACTGGACACCCCCGCAACAATTAGCTCACCACACCGTAACCGGATGCAATATCAATCCAGGTGACTTAATGGCTTCCGGTACGATAAGTGGCATGGTGCGTCCTAAATTTCTGCCTATTATCTGTCAATTAAATCGCCGGTGCCTGGGTCGATTGGTATAATGTCGTATCGAATCGACGTATGTTTCAGGATACCGATTCTTATGGTTCCATGCTCGAGCTCTCTTGGAACGGCACTCGTGACGTACCGTTAAAGGATGGGACCAACCGGAAGTTCTTGCAAGATGGTGACGAAGTGATTATTCGCGGTACGTATGCCACTTTCGTTTAAATAATTCACGTTACACATAGCCACGTGATTATTGACACTCGAGCATTATTTTATAGGTTACTGTGTCGGTAATGGCTATAGAATTGGATTTGGACCGTGTTCAGGAAAATTGTTACCTGCCTATACAGAATGATTTGATTATATATTTTATTGTGACATATTGGGTTGCTGCTTAAGACTTGTTTATCATTTTTATTTTTGTATATTAAATGGTTTATTAAAGAATGGAATAAGTAGAGAATAAATAGTAATTTGTCATTTGCTCAAAGTATTCCGGATATTTTCTTTCGTCTCGATGTGAGGAGTAGAAAAATGAATTTGATTTGTTATGATTGGATTTAAATATGTTACTATGCGATACATCGTGACGTAAAATAGGTAGATTATTGATTTGTAAAATAGTCGTAGTAAATTCGATCAATAAGGAGGCCAGTACAGGTGCAGGTAGAGCGAGTATCAAGGAAAGATGGCTACTGTTCTGTTAAGGTGAGTGAAACGAAAAAAAGAATCGGTTTATTTCATGGTTTTTACTTGTATTTAAATAAAGCCCTGCACGGTAATCTTTTTCTACGCCTTCTTTTTCTGTAATGACCACTGTTGGCACTATTATTAATCAGCAATTAAAATTATATGACAAAAAATAAAGGTCAGAAATAGATCAATAATATCAACGATGTAACAATGTGCTATTCTGTCCACTAAACCAGCACTATATCTTCACCTTGACACAACAATTTTCCTTGCTAATTTAATTGATTTTTAATCCCTGGCAGCCAATGCACTTCACGTTGAACTATTGACACATTACAGAGGTTTTCGTGAACTTTCGTGAGTTCTATGGTACCAGCTTTTGAAGTTATACGTTTTTGACTCTGTGCAAATATAATTATGCACGTGTTATTGAATATCGTTGAATAATGAAATTCTTGTAGAAGCTTGCACAATTTGGAGTCATTAGGCGAACCAACCGCAAAATGGAACATTCCCTTAAACGATGGGAACCACGTGATAGAATTCGAACATGGTACAGCAACTGGTCGTCGATTGGTAACGATAGATGGCAAAGAAGTAATCCACAGAGACTGGATGTTCCATTTAATTGGAGACGAGGTTTTCACGTTCAATGATAACAAATTCGTAATTAGAATCGATCCAATTCCAGGTAAATTTATTCCACATTGCTAACTTTATCTTTGACCTACGTAAAACATACATGTACAATGAAATTTCCACAGGTTTGAAATATTCGTACACACTGTGGGTCAATGGTAAATCATACAAGAACTTCGTGCAAACACAGTCGAAGATATTGGAAACTTGGTTGGCCAATGTTGGAAACGAAGAATACAGAATAGTTTTGGGTAATTATTCTATAAATTATTTCTTCCTCCAATGGAAAATAAATATAATAATCACATCCATCTCATAGACAAGCAAACGCAGAACGTTTGGGTGAACGGGGAACAGGTGGAAACTGAGGTAAGAAAAGAATCGAATTATTTCGTAATTAAAACCAACCGTAATTAAATCTTTTATTTCAGAATGATTTTACCGACGATGGTGCAGAAATCCTCTTCTCAGTAGGAGATCTCCCAGCAGCAATTAGAACTTACAGTTCTGGAAAGAGAAATATTGGAATAACCTTCTCTTTGTACATAGACGAGGTGGAAATAGACAAAGAGACACTTCTCAAAGAGGATCAAGAGGCATAGCCAAATTCATGATTCACCTTCGCACAGTGTTCTTGTTTCACGTGTCACGAAACTTTGTTCCACTCTGTACATAATCCACCTAACCACGTTACATTAAAATCACTGTACTCGAATTTTGCGATTAAACGTTTGAATATGGCAAAGGAAGGAACGATTGTAACTATATTCGGACCATATGGGAAAAACGAAAATTTCTGACCCTCCTTCTCATCCCAGACTCTCGTTATTTATTTAATAAACGAATTAATCACAATGTCCATTCGAGAGAGCATATTCAGTATCGGATCCCGAATGTACCAGAGACACGAGGATGACGTAAATTTCGATGGTGCATGTCAACCAAACACTACAAATCGACGTTCCCCATTTCTAACCTGAACGGCTATCGTGCACCATTGTTAACCTAATCTTCGATTATAGCCATGTCTCTGGAAGAGTTACACCAAATGGAGGAGGACCTTCTGCAAGGCATCTGGATGTTGAGCCTAGAAAACGACGTGTACGAGCGATACTTGACTCGCTGTGATCCTCAGAGTCTCAGAAGTAAAGAACAGCACCCTAAACATTCATCGATTTCGATCGAATTTCACCGACTTCTCGCCAATCGATTAAAATTCAAGCCATAAAGAGCATCCTGGAGAGAGCAAAAGTCACGCGGAGACTCACCGCGCACTTCATCCCGAGGTCATCTCGTATGAGCTTCCGGGAGAGTATAGCAAGTCTGCACGACTTTGCCAGGCACAGCATTGCCACCACACCCAGCATGACCAGTATCCGGTCTGCCAGCCGGTTTAAAACGCCGAGTCTTCAAACAGTGGGAACCATGACCGAAACAGTAAAGTTAGCACATCAATTTTAACTCGAAATCCTCGAAATACTTTTATCTCCTCATCAATGCACTTTTCCGTCATTCTAAAAAAGGGACACCGTATGTCACATATATGTCTTCAGAATATCATCTAAGGATCAGAACGTCCATTTCCCTTATTAGCATTCGGTTCAATTGTGTAACGATCTTCTCAAAGATACAAAATTCGTTTTCATCGATCTTTTTCCTAATTAACCGTTTGAGTCCCAGAGGCTTTTTGAAGAACACGGTCGAAAAAGTCAGAACAGCACGATAACGCTTCCCTTACTCGAGTGCGAAGAAGTCCAAAGAAGTCCGCTTGTTTAATTTTATGTCGAAAAATCACAATCGTCGCGATAGCGCTTGTTGGTGCTATGTGACGTACGTGCATCAACAAAATTGAGCGCGTCACTTCGACTAAAAAGCGCTCTGGGACTCAAATGGTTAACCCCTTGTCTACTGTGGGCGCATAAACGCGCTCAGAAATTTTGCTTTTGTGACACGGAGGGCGCATCTCTATCCAAAATTTTGCCGTTCTCGGCGGACATTTTAAATGAATTCCTACCCGTGTGGTACGACCGGTGCGTTTCAAAGTCTGCCGTAGTCAAAGGGTTAACAAAGACTTGCGTCTATCGTATGCTCTGCAACCCAGTTAATTAACAAACTCTAATTTCTCAAAATTGCGAAGTGTAATGCATATTTCTTTACAACCACAGCTGATATCCTTTCTTATATAATATTATCCAACGATCAGGATCTCGATGGCGCATCGTATAACAATGGCGAAGAAGGAAGTGGTCGAAATGAGGCGAAAATTAGAACAGTTCAAGCTCTTCGCGAAAAGGAAGAAGGCGCATATGAGGGCGGAGATAGAGGAAATCGAAGTTCGAATCAATGAGGCGCACGAGGCGAGCGAGGATTTCCAGGAGGAAGTGGTTGTCAAAGGCGTGGACTCCATCACAGGGAAGATCCCTGCCGAACGAGTGATCAGGTGATTACACGTGTTTCGTAATGCAGAATCGCAATTGCGAGTGTATTTTTCACGCGCGGCTTCTCGCGAAGATTCGTGGAGGAATGGCTGAGATCGGCGAACGCGATACTGGAGAGGCTGAGATTGAAGAGTGCCACGGCGAGGATGCAGATCAGAAAGGCTAGACAGCAGCTTATCCAGAGGAAGGAGCTAGGCGAGACACTGCACGCCATTGACTTCGAGAAATTGAACATCGAGAATCAGGATAACGCGAAGATGCTCGAGGAGAAGAACCTGTACGTGATCGACATGAAGAGGATCGCAGGTGATCGATCTTGGACACCCTGAATGGAAGGTGCGTTGGAGATTAGGGCTACTCATTGTACTCGTAACAGGGTACTATCACTTGAAACTCACGCAACACAAGCAGAAACTGAACGACCTGAAGCTGAAACTGAACGAGGTGAAACAGGATATTTTGTCGAAGCAGAAACAGATGGAAGAGTTGGAGAATGAGCACGAAGTTGTCGAGGTTAAAGTAAAACGCATGAACTCTCAGTTGAAGAATTTACTGCATTTCATGGAGAATCATACCGTATGTGTTTATTTTCTCTCGTCGATCGAGAGCAGATTATTATGATTAATATTACGATTGGTGGGACCTTTCGTATTTTACTCAGGCCCCGGAGATTTTAGAATTCGTCGAGATACAGGAACAGTACATAGGTTTGGAGAGGACTTACAAATTACTGCAGAGACGAAGGAATATCGAGAGAATAATATTCGAGGAGTACCAGAAACAGACTCAGATTAGGAAGAAGTCTGGTGCTAGCGAGGACAAAAAGAAACAGTGAGTAGTCGCACAATTTCGCGTATGGAAATTCTTTTATCGACTCGTTGCGCTATCTTAGGAGAAAGCAGAAGAAGATATCCGACACGAGATACCCGATAATTTTCTAAAATATTCACCTACCATTCTTATTACCTCGGAGTCTCTAAAATCGTTTCTAATGGTCGAATGCAGAAGTCATTGCTGGAAGACGAGGATGCAATTATATCTGTAAAAAAATTACGACTGCCCCGTACCATCACTGGTTACGCCACCAGATAATTGGAGTTACGGTGCTTGTTTAGAAGACGAAGGAAGCCTGAAGCGATCGTCCACTTTCCATGACAGTAGTACTTTCCATAAGACACGAATTGCTGGGAAAAAATTTTCAAAAATACAGAACGATTCAACAGCATGGCCCAGAAATTTTTAATAACTACATAATTTCAAAGCGTGCATTAATTTTTTACATTCCACAGAAACCGTTATGTTAGCGGTCAATTTTTTTAAACTAATTTCTCCCTAATTACTTCTTTGAAAATCTGCAGGATAAAAGAATCTTCAAAAAAGAGTCTATCTATTCGGTCATCCACGGTTAAAATCGAAACTCAAGGCAGGAAACATAAATTATAGTTATCGGAATTACTGGCTCGACTTTGAGATACAAAATGCATTACCATTTTAATATCGTTAACGTAATTATCAAGGGATTCTACGACAATTTTTCTTAATTAATTTCTCCCTAATTACTTCTTCGAAAATCTCCAGGACAAAGGAGTCTTCAAAAAAGAGACTTTCTACTTGGTCGTCCAGGGTTAAAATCGAAGCTCAAGGCAAGAAACATAAACTATAGTTATTCAAATTACTAAGTCGACTTTGAGATACAAAATGCATTACCATTTTAATATCGTTAACGTAATTATCAAGGGATTCTACGACAATTTTTCTTAATTAATTTCTCCCTAATTACTTCTTCGAAAATCTCCAGGACAAAGGAGTCTTCAAAAAAGAGACTTTCTACTTGGTCATCCAGGGTTAAAATCGAAGCTCAAGGCAAGAAACATAAGCTGTAGTTATTCAAATTACTAAGTCGACTTTGAGATACAAAATGCATTACCATTTTAATATCGTTAACGTAATTACCAAGGGATTCTACGTAATAGCATAAGAGAGATGATGGAAAAGAAATTGGGTAAGAAACGAAATTAGGATCTCTGTTCTGGTACACTTCCGATTTTACGAAAGCAAAACTGCTTGTTGCTTATGAGCTGTATTCGTGCATTCTTGTAAATGCATTAAGAAATCTGAATCAGACTGAAGATGGGAGGATTTTGGCGTGTGCCACGGTATGTTGGGCGGTCACGCTTCATGCACCGATGATGCCTGTCCCTTCCTCTTTTCGCCCGTGGAATATCCGTCCCGGAAGACCATGTCTCTCTTTCTGCGGTGATTCAGTTTTGCGACGACAACATCGACGTACCGAATGTTCGATCAACTGCCAATTCCGTCGGCAGGGCTTATCGAAATATCTGCCCGTGAGCAACACGAGTAACACCTCGTCCGAAACGTCCAAGTTCCCTTCGGTGAACCCGATGAACTTCGCATGGGACGATTATATCGAAGATCCCGGGATACGATTGGACGGAAAGCGTGCAACAACCGGTGTTCCAGTTGTAGAGGGAAGTGAAAATCAGTCTGGGAGTGTCGATCGATCGTCGTGAAATAGGATCTTCCCATTTTTTCCCCCAGTCTCGTGTAGAAGACAATTTTTTGAAGCACAAAAGACAGACGCGTGAGTGAAATGGCAAGAATAGTATGCTCAGTGGTGCATGAAGAACCGATTGGTCAACATCCTGACTTTCTAACTGCATTTTATTTCCCGTGAGAATGAAAAAGGATTTCGCGAAAAATCAACGGTGCTCTCATTCTATCTGACTTACATTTAGTTTCGTTTCAACTACAGCAGAGATGACGATCCTGAGGAAATTAGTTGGTATTCTGGTTTTCTGCACTCTCGTGCAGAGAAACCTTAGCAAGTATTTGGAGGTAAGAAAATGAAGCGCGGCATAGGTGTTTCCGGCGTCATTTTTATTTATAAAACGCGTTAACGGTATTTTGGAGATGTTACACTTTGATAGGAGCCTATTTGACACGGTTGGAGGGAGACTTGTTATACCCTGGGGAATATCAGGTCAAAGTCGCATTTAAAATTCTAATCAGGTCCTGAATCGTGTGCTCTATCTAGGCCAGTAGGAATACTCCTTGAAACCATTTTCACGCTTAAAAGTGCAAAGTAGCGTTGCAAATTTCGTTAAACTCTAGTTTTGTTATGCGAGAATGAGCGTGAGCTTGTTTCCAGGCGTATCAAATTGTCTTTCATTTCTCTTTGCGTTTAATCTAGGGTATGAACGTGAATTTAGGAGATGCAGTGCAGTTTCTTCGAGAATATGACAGTGAGGCTTCTGCGATGTGCACGAGGGTAATGACAGCGCAATGGAATTTTGCGACAAACGTCACCGAAGAGAATCGTCGAAGAATGGTACACTAATGATAGAAAAATAATTTTTTTCCAGAAAAAATTCAGTCCTGAAGAAACGTAATTTGTTCGTTTCTATTTTATTAGATAGAAGAACAGACTTTGAAGTTAAAATTTGATCGAATTTCGTGGCGGAAGGCAGTCAGTTTCGCTTGGAGTCGAATAGGGGACCCCTTTGCTAAAAGGGAGCTCAAAATGATCGCTATAAGAGGGCGAAATTCTCTGACTGATGACAAATTTAACGAGGTACATACTAAAATATTATTATCAATTAAACGATTAACAAAAGAAATATTATTCGCTTTCAGTTACACAGTCTGGTCCTCGAAATGAAAGAAATATACGCGAGGACAAGAGTGTGTCCTTACAGAACAGTAGGAGCAAATTGTGACCTAAGTTTAGACCACGGTTGGTTACGTTTATTCCCATGGTAATTAATAATTTACGAATGTCAACTAACCGTACGTATATTTTTCAGACGTGAGCAAAGTAATGGCAAAATCGAAGGACTATGACGAATTGTTATATTACTGGCACGCTTGGCACGAAGCCACTGGTCCTCAACTAAAGAACAAATACATGAGATATATCCAGCTAGCAAATCAAGCTGCCAGGTTAAACGGTGAATAAAATTGCGTAGTTATTACATAGAAATTCAGGGTTCGAGGATGCTGGTGATCAAATGAGAGAATTCTTCGAGGACGAGTATTTCCCACAAAACACAGCAGACGTAATGTCAGCAGTGATGCATCTGTACAAAAATCTCTTCACCTATGTAAGAACAAAATTATTCGAAAGATACGGCGACAGAATTAGAAGGGATGGACCACTTCCGGCGCATGTTCTGGGGAACATGTGGGCGCAGAATTGGGAAGACTTGTACGACGTGGTGCAGCCTTTTCCGGCAAGCAAGAAGCTCGATGTGACATTGGACATGATGATTCAGAGTTTCACACCTTTGAGGTAACGTTATGATCGATGTGAGGAAATTTATTATTGAACGATATATTCAAATGTCACCACGAAAATGTTGAAGGATGTTCCAAATAGCAGAGGAATTCTTTACTTCCCTTGGAATGAAGCCAATGCCACCCGAATTCTGGAGATTCTCGATGTTCGAGAAACCTATCGACAGAGAAGTGAAGTGTACTCCCAGTGCTTGGGATTTTTGCAACAGGATTGATTACAGGTATCTATCGGTAGCTGATAAGCTATAATTTAATGTACTTAGCGGATTAATTTTGTAGGATAAAGCAATGTACGAGAGTCACGATGGAGGATTTATTATCGACACATCACGAGATCGCTCGATTGCAATATTATTTACAATACAGGGATCAACCGTTATTATTTAGAAATGAGGCAATTCCAGGTAATGAGATCATCGGGATAATGAAAATTGCCTCGCCAAATAAATACTAATTTTGAGTTTATAAAATAGGATTCTTCGAAGCAGTTAGCGATGCCATTGAATTATCCGTGTTCACTCCTCAGCATTTAAGTAAAATTGGATTGCATAACAACTCGACGGATGATTATGGAAGCGACATAAATTTCTTGATGCTAATGGCACTCCGTAAAGTTGCCTACATGCCATTTGCATACATGGTTGACGAGGTTTCACAATATTTTATTTACAAATGAAACGTCTCTGTTAAAACTGTGTATATATTCCTTTTTAACGTTGCAAGTGGAGATGGCGTGTTTTCAACGAGGGTGTCACGGACATGACGAACAAATGGTGGGAGTTAAGGCTACAGTACCAAGGAATCGTGCCTCCTGTGCCACGATCTGAAAGAGATTTTGATCCTGGCTCAAAATATCATGTACCAGCCGATGCTGTTTATGCCAAGTATAAAATGACATGCATTAAGTTCATTGAACTCGATAAATATAACTTTCGTAAACTTAATAATTCCCTATTTAATAAATCTCGATCCTAATTTGACTCCATTTTTAGGTATTTCGTTGGCGTTGTCTTGCAATTTCAATTATTTGAATCTTTGTGTGAAATAGCAGGTCACACTGGTGATCTACATACTTGCGATTTTTATAGATCACGGGAGGCTGGAAGATTACTATCGTATGTCGAAATAAATACTAGGAGAAACTGCGAAATAATAATAATAATACAAAATTAGCCAGAATATGTTTTACTTTTTCTCTATACTCCTGATTTCTTTTTTATTTTTAGCGACGTATTGTCAATTGGTTCATCCAGACCATGGAAAGATGTTGTACGTCAAATGACAAGAGGTAGGACAAACAGAATGGATGCTGGTGCTATACTAAGATATTTCGAGCCATTAAATCAATGGCTGAAACGGCAGAACGAAATGGAACCGGTTGTCGGTTGGATCACGAATCGTGATGACACAGGTGAGTGTAAAAATAAAAGGATACATTATATGGAATATTACTTGCAGTGTAGTGATATATTGTAGAAATTATAGGACTTGTTCAACATATTTCAGCACTGTTTTTTCACTGGTACCAAAATGGCGCTTCAAAAATTACATCGCAGTTATTTCTTCCATTGGTTCTAATTACTACGCAGTTTTTAATGTGTTAACAGATAAAGATCAAAGAGGACAATGTATTGCTGTACATATTACAAAGAGTTATGTAAATATTTCATGAAAAATTTGACGTAATCAAATATTTATATTGCGTAATTGTACCGTGTAATTATTGCCAAAAAGAGAGACTATATTTATAGATTTGTTATAGCACGAATATTTCACATTAAATTTATTTATAATGATGTTAAAATCTATCTTGTTGTTGTTAAAAATAATAATCAACAGTAGTTTATATAGTTCCCTGACAAAATAATTTTACGAAGGTCGGCTATATATTAACGATACAAGCTCAACAGATGGCACAACTGTCGTCAGTTTTCCTTCTGTTGTCGAACAGTTTTTTATATGATGCAATACAGAAAACGTGAGATTTTGTTAATATATTTACGCAATTTTTGAGTATTAACGTGAAGATCCGGTAAGTTCTATCCAATTTACCTGTGGCAACTGTGCAATTTTTCGAAGCTGCGATTATCCGTCGTACAACCTAAGAACGACATAGCCTTTTGGTTATAAATAATAACTATCGTTTGCAACAATGGATATAATTTTTTGTCGTGGCATAAAATTTGCATCTAGTTTAGGATTTCGACCCATATTAGCGACAAAAAATTTCTTAGAAACAGCGCGTGTTGTACGACGTGCTGACACAAGATTTTGGAAATTTTATTTCTTCGGTAGGTTAAGAGGTAAAATTATCTTGATCATCGGTCACATTAACAATCACGTTATTGTTAATTTTAGAAAGACATCCACATTACAGAAACTTATCGTGCAATTATGTCCCGTTTGTTAATCGCATTGAAACATACCAAATACCGCTTAAATATAAAGTCGGTAGAGATACCTTTGTGGCTCGATATTCTAACAAAAACGCTACTAAGGATAGTACCCCGAAAATAGAGTCGAAGAAAAAAGTAACATTATTTCAGAAAATGAAACAAATGACCAAGGATTACTGGCACATTTTAATGCCAATTCATTTAATGACATCTGTATGTTGGATAACCATATTTTATATAACAATGAAAAGGTAAGCATCGTTGAACAGTATTTAATTAGCAACTTATACTATTGTGCTACTTTGTCGTTCTTTTAGTGGTGTTGACATTGCAAATATCTTGGAATATATGCATTGCAATCAGAAATATATAGAGACGCTAAAAAGTAGCAATGCTGGAAGCTGGGCTTTAGCCTATCTGCTTTATAAAATACTTACACCTCTCAGATATACAGTCACTATAGGTAATTAAATTATTATCAAAATCGTCAAATATATAAAAAAATCAATAAAAATGATTAACATATATCAATACAATACATAGGGTTTACAACAATGGTTATTAAAAGACTTCGAAAATATGGAATGATGAAACCTTTGTTGTATCATAAAAATTCGCAAATGGCATACAAGGTATAGATTATACTTATTTGTAATTAAACTAATCTAATAGGTCTGAATATAATTCATGTTTGAATTATTTGTTACATGCTCTCTTGATATAGCCTGCATATGATATACTATGTGTAGGTTTCCTCTTTATTGTCAAAAATTAAAATTTTTGCTTGTTAAAACGTTTTTACACATAATTAATTTTTCTACATTTTCTAGTGTGTCATCTTTGAGTGTATACTGTACAATTTTTGTTTTAGGTACCAGAAGCAAATAAAGCGACAACACAAAAGCAGGGATTGAAAGTAGAACGTCCAACAGAACCTCCTAAAACATAGTAAAGATATAGGCAAAAGTAAAATTTATCAATTGCATAAAAGGTTTCTTGATTTGTTTATAATCTCTGACTTCAAACAAAAGACCGAGCTGATGTATATTGTTTTTTGTAAATGAGTAAACATTATAATACTATGATAAAAAAAAAAAAATCTGTTATATAATATTATATAAACGATCTATCGTATACATCTTTCACCCTCAGACTATTTAAGAATCAACTGCTACAAGATACGGTTTGGTCAGATATACCCTTCTTTATTGAACGGACGTCTTGTATTACATACCGCGAATACACTTAAATAACATTGTACTTTTCATCTACAATACTCGCAGCTTAAATCTTATCTACACGCAGAAATATTGATTATTAATCAGATGTAAAAAAGCTTTTTGGCAGCACGAATTGTGCGTTGTAGCATCCTAAAATTATTCGTTTTCAATGCACGGAATCTTATTTCGTAGTACTCATCGATTCAAACATTAAAATTTATGTAATTTTTCAACAATAACGATAAATGTCATTAGAATTCCTGAGTAATATTCACGAATGTTAAGAGTATTGCATGAAGTTTTGACACTAATAACCGATATATAATGTATTGTCGTAATAAATACTGTTAGCAAACGCGTGGAGTATGGTAATGATACGCCATTTTTATCGTAAACCACCATGTCAGGGCGCATCCAAAATTCTTGATTGCAAGAAAATGAGCAAGCCCTGACAACAGGATTGTGCATGTATTATATACACGAACTAAAATAAGGAATCATTGCTTAACGACAATATAATTATTATGCTAATATATCACAGTTGCCTGCGCAACTCGTTCATCTTAACGAGATTACTGCATTCGCGTGCAGTACCTTGAACAAAATAAATAAGAGCACATATATTAAATATACCGCTAACCTATATTAGTAGCTGTCAATGGAAAATTGTTTCCCGTAGATCGCAAAGATATATATTGCTAATAAGATCAAACATCGACCTGACTATGTAATCTATATGATCCCAAGAGGCAGTGTAATTTAATTCTGCAAATATCCAGTCTTGCTAGGTTACGTTAACCTCTCACGTTATAGAGGAACAATAAAGCTATATTATTTTTATAGGCATTGATTAATTGTATTGTAAATATCGATACCTGTACTTTCTATGTATTTCTACTTTGTAAACCGATAAACACGTGTAAGTTTCACAACAATAATAGGTCGGTTTGTTCAGTCACTTCTTAAGATGTTCACATCTAGATGACCGATACGCAAGCGCAATTCGGTTCAAAACGTTCAACTTACAAAATTTAACTTAACTTATCCCATAAATTGATAACTAGCTGATACTGGCTGTGGTGCCCTAGGTTGTGTGTGGGATATGCGTTGGATGTGGCACGCACGGCACATAAGTCTACCATCAAGTGGGTAGCATCGTTTGTCTGGTTCGTCGGTCAATTGCATGCCACAATCCTCACAAACGTAACAATCTACGTGGAAATCTTTGTCCATGGAAACAACGCGTACGGTCTCCTCTGTGCCCTGGAAAGCAAGTCAAATTACACATGCTTATGTCTGTTTATACTAAAATTACGTCACGTGGAAACAAAACGGCTTACCTCAACTGGAGTGATTCCTTTTCCACAGGAAGCACACTTTGGAGCGAACATTCTGTGATAATCGTTGACACAGTAAATTTTATTGTCAACATCAACCGTGAAGGGAACACCATCAAGACATTCGTTGCAAACGCAACATCTAAAGCACCCTGGATGATAGGACTTCCCCATGGCCTGCAGTATCTATGAACATAAGATATCGAGTGAATCACGATCCCAATGTAAGTCACCTTAACAGTATAGACTTAATTACCATCTCCATGATAAGGTGACCGCAGATTGCGCACTTCTCCGCGGTTTGTTGGAAGCCAGAATACTGCAGACAAAACGTTCTGTGAGCTACGTCATCGTATCACGCGTCCATCGCAATTACTGTCTTACGTACCAGATAATCTTCCTCACAGTATACCCTCCCGTGAACATTATAGAACGCTTTGCCGCGTAA